CTGACTGGGCTCTGGGAGGAAAGGAGGAGCCTCAATATACAAAAGGCTGGGGGAAGGCTCTATCTCATTGACTAGAAGGTTGTCGTCATCACAGGGGGAGCTGGTCGAAGCTCCTAAGTGATCGGAGGAAGTGTGAATCTCCTCCTCCATCTCTGTGTCAAGGACAGAGAAGCGAGAGTGAGTATTCATAGAGGCAGACTGGAGAGATTGGTGGGGGAATAGGCCAGTTGCTTTGGCCTTAGGCCCATTCAGGATAGCCTCCTTGGTCCAGGTGGCCTCCGAGGTGACCTTACCCTTGCCCTTTTGTCCCTTGTTGGGACCGTGGGCAGGTGCCTGACCCTTCTCCTTAGGGCTCCCCGGGGCAGCAGTAGGTCTCTGCTTCGCTACACGGCGATGGGGGGGCAAAGCGGGTCGGGGCTTGTCGCCCCTGGTAACATTCTGCAGCCCCATGTCCTACATGACTACATAGGGTGCAGAACATGGGAACTCTCTCGTTGACCAGTTTCTGGATAGTGGTCTTGCCCGCTTGGTCAAGCTCAATCTCTTTGATGAGCTTGTTCCCGAGGTCAATCTCCACATACACTCGTGCGACAGATAACCTCGAGCAGTTTGCCGTAGCGGCATCAGTCTCAATGGGGTTGCCAATACAGCTGGCAATCGAAAAGAGGGCAGAAGGGTCGAAAAGATGCGGTAAGAGGCCCGGAAGACAGCACCATACCGGGACGATGGGAGATTCCTCAACAAGAGAGAAATCAGGGGTGTATTTAAACACCCGACCAGCACATCCAAAGATATTGAGATGCATCTTAATCCAAACTGAATTATAGTTCTCTTTCAACTCAAAAAACAGTAAATAGTGAATATAGTTAAGTTACTTAGGAGACACTCTACCCTTGAAACCCAATTTGTCAGACCGACAGATAAATCCCGGAGGGAGGGGACAGTGAAGGAAAACTTCAAGATAAGTGCATTATCAAACGACCCAGCTAGGGAAATAACAGTGGGCTCAGGGAAACTTACCTTGAACCTGCCCTCCTCGGAGCGAGTGACAGTCCCGCTCTGTTTGT